AAAAAGACAAAATCAAACAAGCTCTCACATGTCCATCTACAGAGATATCAGGGATGCTTACATGTTTAACCCAATGATTCTATTTTAAAGAAAATGCATTTACAAAATCCAGTGTCTAATTTGTAAGTATAATTGCTGGGTCATGATGGGCAGGCAAAAGAGGCTTGTGGGTAGAAGCATAGGTTCCTTTGCCTGATTGTGCTGATGTTCCCAAAGATGTGAAAATATCTCAAAATTTACCAAAATTTTCACATTTGAGGTGTTTATTGTCTGCCAAATATTTCCTGTTAGAAAACTTATATCAAATTAGATAAAAACATGAATCACAGACATACACAATGAAGGATAAGGGAAAGAAGATGTCCAGTCTGAGATGACCAGAGCTGCACTGGCTGCCTCACCATTAATTTTCAGGACAAAGAGAATTCACCATCCTGTTCAGCTCCTCAAGCTAAAGAGGAGCACAAATTTATGTTTATATGGAGAATTTTCCTAGGAACATGCTGTTCTGAATGACTAGGAGGACAGAGGACAAGAGGCTTCTCACTGAAAGAAGTGCCAGTAGATTCAGTTGGAACTATGGTAGAGCTACCAGGAGAAGTCATAGGGCAGGTCTGAGAAAAGCTGTGGAGTGTTTGCCCCCCTGACAGATGGTAAAGGGGTTCTTGTCTTACTTCCCCATGAGCCTGGAGCACTGTGCGAGCATCGAAGCTGTTATCATAAGACTGACAGTAATAGACTGCCTCATCCTCAGGCTGGAGCCCAGTGATGGTCAGTGAAGCAGAGTTGCCAGACTTGGAGCCAGAGAAACGATCAGGGATTCCTGAGTATCGATTACTATCATCATAGATGAGGAGTTTGGGGGCCATTTCTTGAATCTGTTGGTACCATTGCACATCATATCTACCAATATTGTTGCTGCTTCCAGTGCAGGAGATAGTGACCCTCTGTCCTGGAGTCCCAGAGAGTGAGGGCTGCTGAGTCAGCACAGACTGGGCCCAGGATCCTGGAAGTGGAAGAAACACAGAGCATGATTTTTGTCTAGAGACAAGAAGAGAATTAGGGCCCATATCAGAAGACTCCCACTCCCTATCCCTCCTCCATATCATGTCACCTGTACACTGAACAAGGAATGTGAAGAGGAGATAGGAACAGGCCATGGCGAAGGTCATCCTGACCTCTGCTTTCTCTTCCTGATGCTGAGTGGAGGTTCCCCCAAGGCACTCCCTTGGCCTCTTTATAATCTGAGAAGGGTAGGTTCTACTCAGGCAAATTAGTTTCCTACAGGTTTCTGACTGCACCCTGGGTCTAGTTTCAGACTCTTGTACATAAAGATGCCAAGTAAGTGTGCAAGGGTGGAGTTGGGTTGGCTCAGGGGTGTGGAAGGTCACAGCTGTGAGAACTAACGAGAGAGCATCAGGCAGGACCAGGTGGCTCATTACAGTTCTGGTTACTTCCTGACTCCTCTTAACTCGTCTGCAGTGCCTCCTGTTGCCCAAGCTCATACACATAATCATATGACATTTTTATCAAAATCTCTGAAATCCCAACCGACCTGCATCTCCACTAAAATTGCCTGGAATGGGGGACAGGTTTGTGAATCCTTTGTATGGACTCCCATATCCTCAGGGTGGCTGTCTTTCTTTCGTCAGACTCCTCATGGTGAATTTGTGCATAGCTCACTCAACACCTCCCTTTATAGGACTAAGATTGTGTCTTTGATACAAATTCTTCTCAGATGAGAATTAAGCAGATGAACATAAACTTTGTGGTTTTATTAGCTTGCAGGGTACCATCACATTTATCCTCAACACAAAAACTGTTCCACGGGTTTTTTCACATTGAGCTTGGCAAAGAGCTCAGTTGCAAAATTTTATGATAGCTACTTGATGCTATTTAAAAGATACTTTCATGTATGTTTTTAAGATTTCTCAGTTCTAATGTTTGAAACCTTTACTTTTAGCAATTTAGATTGAGGGTTGTGATTATGTGTTAGTCACAAACAAATAACAGTCCTGTCACCATTGGCTACATGGAATGCTACAGGCACTGGAAGTACTAAAATGACTCAAATTGCAGGACTCATAAATATATTCAGAAACAGATTAAAATGCATTGTCTCCTAGGCACTGGCAAGTATGCAGGTACTCTGGGCATCAATATCAGTCTTTTGTTTATATTTGTTTAATAATACTCATTTTATTTCACAAGGGTTTTATGATTCCAACTGATGAAGTAAATCATATCCTGAATTTTTAAAAACTATATTATTTTGTATTTGTTCTTAATATTTATAGATGAAAGTAGATTGTATTGTGACATTATACATACAAGGAGTCTAACTTCTCATTTTCTTGTTGTACATGATGGAGAATTACATTTTTTATTCATATATGAACATAGGAAAGTAATGTCTGTGATTCATTCTACTATTTTTCATATCCCCATCCCCATTTCCTTCCTTTCATTGCCCTTTTACTAATCTAATTAACTTCTGTTCTTTCTTACCTTTTCTCATGCTTATTGTGAGTTAGCAAACACATATCATGGAGAACATTTGACTTTTTTTTTTGCGGGAATTTGGCTTATTTTACTTAGATAGTCTCCAGTTCCATCCATTTTCCCACAAATGCCATAATTTCATTTCTCCTTATGGCTGAGTAGTATTCCATTGCGTATATATACCACATTTTCTTTATTAATTTATTAGTTAAAGGGCATCCAGGCTACTTCCATATTTTGGCTATTGTAAATGAAGCTGCTCTAAATATTGATGTGGCTGTGTCAATGCATGTTTAAGTCCCTTGGTATAAACTGAGGAGTGAGATAATTTGGTCAAATTGTGGTTCTATTCCAAGTTTTCTAAGAAATTTGCATAATGATTTTCAAAATGGTTGCACCAATTTGCTGTCCAATCAGAAATGTATGAGTATACATTTTCCTCAACATCCTCACCAACATTTATTATTGCTTGTATTCTTAATGATTGACATTCTGACTGGAGTGAGATAAAATCTCAGTGTAGTTTTAATTTCCACTTCTCTATCTGCTAGAGATGTCCAATATTTTTTTTCATAATTTCGACAATTCCAGATCCCATGATAGGCAAAAAGTGCCATTATAAGACTAGAAATTTCCATACTTAGGCATGTAAGCAACTCATGATAGGTTGGTACTTTTCAAATCCATCACAATTTGTAATTAAATATAAACAGGATTAAAAGTCAAGCAATTATGTTTTTTCTTTGAAAAGATAAATTATATATATATTGTGGAATATAATATGTTTTATATTTATGAAAGTGATAATCTAAAGATTGGTAATATGTAATTTACATATTCTGATTAATAGATTATCTTAATATTAGATTATCTTAATATTAATAAAAACTGGAATGTGTGCATTATTAAGTAATTTAAATTTATAAAATTTTGATATATTAAGTTTTAATCATTATTTTATCCTTTCTTCATTTCTTGTTTCCTTCCTTCTTTCCTCTCCCTATGAGGAATAGGTAATATAGGTCGCTTTGTGATTTTCTGTAGTTTTAGTGAAAATTTATTTCTCCACCTTTATATGATGCTCTCAACTGCAATGACTATTAATTTTCTGAAGTTTATTTTTTTCCACAGGCCAAGCTCCACTTTTCTTTCAATTCAGAAAGAGAATAAAAAATTATTTTCTACTCCATTGTTAATCAGCATGTTTAATTATTTTCTGATTCATAAGTGTAGCCAAATCCCCCACTACATACAGAGTTTTCTTTTAATTATTCTCTTCTCTAATTTTATCTACAAATATGAACCCAGAATATTTAAATTCTTTACACCAAACAACATAAAACAAATTATATGAAATTATCAATGTTATTGAATGAAAATTCCAGGTAGAAAATAAGTGCATTATGGTGGAACTGCACACTTGTAGAACCACTCTGGAAATACTATGAAGATTCCTCTGAAAACTTGGATGGGAGCCACTATTTGACTCAGTTTTTCCACTCCTCAGCACATATCTAAAGTACTTAAAAATCAGCTTACTACAGTGATGCAGCCACAACAACGTTTATAGCAGCTCAATTTACAATAGCAGAACTATAGAGCCAACCCAGGTGCCATTCAATAGATAAACAGATAAAGAAAATGTGGTACATATACACAATGGAATATTACTCATCCATAAGGAGAAATTAAATTCTGGCTTTTGCCAGTAAATGGATGGAAATGAGACTATCATGCTTGACGCAGTCTGGCTGGGCACAAAATCATGAGACACTCAATCAGGAACAAACTTTATTTCCAAAATTCCCATGAATCCACACACATGGCCTTCTCCTGGGACACACTACACCAACAGGAAATCCCTCCTCTGGAATTTCCTTCTACCGCACTTCCCCAACCAATGGAAACTCTTCAGGAGTCCTGCAAGAGCTCCAAAGTAGCAGGCTGAGATGGACAGCAGGAGTCTAATCTCCAATTGAATTCACATCTTAACATAATCATTATCATCTCAATGGCTTGCTGGCATCACCTTTCAACCCAAAATGCCATGCTTCATTCCTACTTGGCTATGGATGTCAGCATCCCCCTCTTCTGTTTAAATAAACAACAAGCAATGTGGCTTAGGGACCATGCCTGTTAGGTTGTCCAATACAACATAGGGTTCTTACCCGTCATCAGATGAGCTGACCTCTAGGTGTCAGCCTCCTGTCTTAGGTTGGTACCACTGCAATTGTATCATACCTGTCACTGACTACCAGTCCAGCATACAGTCATACTTGTGGATAGGCCTATGCACCAGTGGGTGAGGTGAGGTTCTTTATCTCACCTCTGTTGGCCCCCAAATTTGGCCTTTGCACCAGTAGGGGTGTGAGGTTCTTTGCCTCACCTCGGTTGGCCCCAAATTTGGCCTTGGTGCCAGTGGGGGGGTGAGGTTCTTTGCCTCACCTCTGTTGGCCCCCAAATTTTAGACCATCACTAGCAGAAGGGAGGAGGATA